TTCCCTCACAGTTTAGGCAACAGAGAACACACATGACCACACAAAAGAAGCACATTCCCAGTACCTGCGGATTCAGCCAAGGAAAGAGACTCAAGTGTCTACCGACTCACCATTTTATTATGTCTAACACTTGCTTTATGATCCAGTTTATGGATTCTGGGTGGTTAATAAAGTTGCCTCTCAGTTCCCTGCTATTAAGCACTAGGAAGTTATGACAATTAATTAACACTGCCCCTAGGCTATCAGGAGGGCTGGAAGCCGACCAACCAGGTCCTGCTCTCCTAGTTGACACTGAACCCGAATGGGCCTCACAGTTTACACCACATGCCTTCTCTTCCTCAGAGCCCCTTCTCTGGTGGGTGCCTCAAGCTGGCTGTCTAGACAGAAATGCAAACGGGTGGTATAGGTTTGCGTTATCTGATATTCCACGAAAGAGGAAAAGCCCTTTTGTGGTTACAGACACACTTCCCTCAAGTGGAAAAGTAAATCTATGTCGTCGTTGCTTTTTGCCCAGTACATCAGAATTACACATTGCCAAACTTACCTGCTAATGGGAGCTCAGAAGTGTCCCAACCCCTCTTATTCTTCTCGTCCTAAACCAATTTTCCTGGCACTCATCGCCGCCCTACATCTCAACTCCAGGATGGAATGGTTTTAAGCAAGCAGTTCTCACTGCCCGCTAGGGTTCTTTTAGGAATCCACATCAACTGATGCCCTGGACTGAGTCTGAACGTGCTCTCAAGCCCTCCAGCCCCATCCCTTCATACTCACTGTTGCTGGACTTAAGGTCGCGGTGGATAATGGGGACAATCGCCTCATCGTGTAAGTAGTTCATCCCTCTGGCAATCTGCACGGCCCAGTTAACCAGGATGTCGGGGGGAATCCTCTTCCCAGATAGCACTCTGTTCAAAGGTCCTCCACGAGCGAACTCCATGACCAAGCAGAGGTTGGGTTCCTTCAGACACACCCCCCTGAGAGCAATGATGTTGGGGTGCTTCAGCATGGCGAAGAGCTTGGCCTCCTGGCGAACGTTCTCTATGGTCTGGCTGATGTCCTCATCGGGGTCGTGGCGAGCTGCTTTCACGGCGACCTCATCCCCTATCCAGAAAGCACGATAGACCTTCCCAAAGCCCCCGATGCCAATAATCTCTTCCAGGGTTAGCTCCGCAAAGTCAATCTCTAACACTGGGAAAGAGGAGGGAGAGAGAGGCAAATCAAAAACATTCCAAAAACACCATTTAATCACCCATTTACCCGGATGCGTGAATGCAGCAAGTTGTCTCTTCATGCGGCTTTTCTGTCTTCCTATTATAAAGTCAACTGCATAAGGCCAGGAAATGTGATTAACTTACACTCTGCGGCCTTATGCTTTGTAACTGGCACACAAATCTTGGGCTGGACATGGTGCTGCTATATGAGCAAAGAGCTATTGTATGTTGTTGTTGTTTTTTTCATGAAAACCTGTTCTATCTTCTCAGTCTCATCATCTTTACCTGGCTTACTCATACTCATCTCTCAGCTTAGTAGTTTGGCTAAAAAAAAAAAGAAAAACACCCCAACAGACAGACAGACACACACACAAACTTTGCTAAAAAACTAAGAAAACAAAAATGTATTTCTGAACTCTTGGCAAGACCAAAAGAGGAACTGCCCACTGCTTCCTTCCACAGCCTGCCCCATGAAGCCGCCATTCTCCACTCAGATGCTGGTGGTGCTCCAAACTCTGTTCTTGCTTAATTATGGTGTTTCTATTCCATGTGGGGCTGATATTCACTTGTATTTTGTAATGCAAGTGGCAGTCTGCACAAAGGAAACTCTTAGGAAAAGTTAGCTGGTTTTTGGTATACAAAAAGTATGGCCCATCTTGACTCCAAATGTTCCAAGTGTTCAGGCTTATCACCTCATCGGGCACTCTCCCCAAAGAATATATGGTGTGGCAGGTCCTGCAGACTAGCAATCCGCATCCATTCTAATATCCCTCCAGCAGGCCTCTCAGTTCTACAAAAGCCAGGAAGCTGAAAACTACATTTCCCAGACCCCCTGACAGCTAGAGTTCTGGATGCAGATCAGGTTCTGCGTTAGATGCAGAAGATTTAGAAGGCAGAAATGAAATGGAGGCCGTCTTCTTGCTGCGTCTCCTGGCAAGCAAGGCTGTGGAGAGGTGGCGTTTTTCTGCAACAGCGAGTCAGTGTCCAATCACTCGCTCTGTGGATGAGGAGAGGCATGTTGCAAGGCCAAGTGGTTGCCTAATCCTGGACTGCAACAACAACCGGGCGTTCTTGAACTCCAGCGCTTCAATGACAGCTCCTGATTCTGTGCCTTCCCACTGAGAGAAGTAGCAGCCTACCTGGTGGGCCGGATCTGCAATGTTCTTGGAGTTTTTCCGACAGGTCCACCTGAGAGTCCCTTCTCCCTACCCTCCCAATCATTCTGTAAGCACCTAACTTCCTGTGCTAGAGCACTTTCTACTTAAAGTAGCTTGAGTGTTTCTAGGTTCTAAAATAAAACCTGACATTACTAATGTTTGCCTTATCTCATCTATATGAATGGGGGGGGGGGGATGCCTATGTTAAAGAGAGATTAGAAACCCTTTTGGAAAAACAGATAAGTTATGTTAGGAGTCTCCTGGGTCATGGAGGGAAGGAAAGTTCATTGTTTTCTACCAGTTTTTATGCTGATGAAAAGATATGGGCCTATTTAACAAATTTGTATTTACACATCTTATTTCTTTAGCTGAGTATCTGAATTCTCCTTAAGGGAATGAACTGTTGTATTTTCTCTTCTACGTGCCTTCTTCCCTGGGAATGAAGCATGGTTGTGAACACACAGGAGGTGTTAAATATTTATTTAAATATATGAGGGTTTTAAAGATGTGATTCTGAACTAGGGTGCTGAAAGGACAGCTCCACGGGTGGCGTTTTGCAGAAGACAGAAAACCTCTGTGGGGAAGGCCAAGCAATAAATAGTCTTGCTCTGGGTAGGACATAAACTCTCAGGTTCTTGCTATTTAGTTAAGAAAATATTACGACCAAACTTAAAGAAAAGTATAGAACACAGCTTACAAGCAGATAGAAGAAAGAACAGAGGGGGATGGGGGCAAGGGAGGAAGGTACTCCTTTTCCCTTCCCTTGGAAGTAAGAAGTTTCTTGGAGTAAGAACTAGACCAGCGGTTCTCAACCTGTAGGTCGCGACCCCTTTGGGGGGTCGAACGGCCCTTTCACAGGGGCCACCTAAGACCATCGGAAAACACATATATAATTACATATTGTTTTTGTGATTAATCACTATGCTTTAATTATGTTCAATTTATAACAATGAAAATACATCCTGCATATCAGATATTTACATTACAATTCATAACAGTAGCAAAATTACAGTTATGAAGTAGCAACGAAAATAACAACATGAGGAACTGTATTAAAGGGTCTCGGCATTAGGAAGGTTGAGAACCACTGAACTAGACCTTCAGTTGTGCTGAGAGAATATGGGGCTCTCCTTCCATTTCCTGCTCCAGTCAAGACCTGGTTTTAAGTAAGAATCAGGTCAAGTCGCACCCAACACATTTTTCAGCTTCTTTGGAAGGACATATCCAGGAATATCAGGAACAAAACCTTATTTCTTTCATTTTCGGAGTCAAGATGTTCTTCGCTCTCAATTGTATCCTTGAAAATGAAATGTATAAGCACATTCTGGTGGGTTTTGGCAAGTGAATGGTATGTATCTCACTCATTTAAAAAATCTTAAGTACATATGAAAATGCATCCTTATAAGAAAAATAAAGTAAATTAGTCAGACAGAACCTTAATTTATGCCCTACTTGAAAATAGACACAATCTCCTGTAGGAGAACCGTTTTTAAATGCCTATATATCTCCCAAGATAAAACATGTGGAACTACCTCTTTTCATCTTTTACTAAAATAAGGAAGATGAGAGACCTCCTTGGTGATTTTTATTTCTCAGCTCCATGAAGAGCTATCTGCTGCTATCTACATTGAAGGGGATAGAAGAACTATTACATTTTTCTTTGTCATAAGATTTAGTAATTTCCACTTTTTTTTACCTCTTTTGTTTTGAGTAAAGTTTGAAACAGAATTTTCCCTCTGAAGCAATATTTAAAACGAAAACAGGTCATTATTAGTGTCTTCTATCCCCAGTCTAACATCACAATTCATGCCCCAGATGGGAAGTTCAAAAGGGTAACAGGGAAAAGTTGTCAGTGGCTCAACTTCATTCCAAATCTTTCGAGAAAGGCTGTCAATAACCTTTTATTTCTGAGTGACACTACCTGAGCTGGTGGGCATTAGCCTACAGGTAGGAAGCACACCTGTCAGCAACTCGCCCTGTTCATCTTTACCAAAGCGCTGTAGTGAAATTATTTACATCACCAATCTCCCTCATGTGAGACTTACAACCACCTCTGTATCGTTTCTTTATCCCTGGATATTTAACACAGTAGCCATTCTCCACGGGGCCCTCTAATTGCTTTGTGACTGGAATTACATTTTCTGAATTATCAAGAATTAATTCCAGCCCTAACCGGTTTGGCTCAGTGGATAGAGCATCGGCCTGCGTACTGAAGGGTCCCGGGTTCGATTCCGGTCAAGGGCATGTACCTTGGTTGCGGGCACATCCCCAGTGGGGGGTATGCAGGAGGCAGCTGATGGATGTTTCTAACTCTCTATCCCTCTCCCTTCCTCTCTATAAAAAAATCAATAAAATATATTATTAAAAAAGAATTAATTCCAGGCAAGATCAGAACTCCTGATGACACTAAATAAAATAACTTACCAGGACCTTTCAAATACCATGTTCTTCAAGTCAATTCTTTCAATAAGCACAAGGGACTGCCTACTTTCTCACCATCTGGGTTCTAGATATAAGAATCTAGTCTATGCAAGGTTACTTTTGTTACAATAAGATTAAGTCCTGGGCACCTAACGAAGAAGGAGTTTCTACAGTGGCACAGTGGACACGTCTGGCTCTCTGGGGATGGGCGCTTCCAGCCTAAGTCTCATTCACTCCTGACTGCTCTGACAGCAGGGAGCACAAAACAGTAAAGAAACTGCGTTCCAGCTCACGAGCCTCAGACAGCCCTTCGGCTCTGACCAAACTTAAAGAAAAGTATAGAACACAGCTTACATAATTAGCTGTTGCTGAAAAAAAAAATCACAAACTTTACCCACAAAGAACCTCGAAATCTGACTTACTTTTAAAACCACAGTTTTGTAATACACCAGACCATTCTTCCACTATTCCTCCCAATGTGTGACCAAGTTCATCTTCAACGCTATTTCAGACACTAGCCTTCATCTCCCCAGTACTAGTGCCAAAAAGATAGAATGCCTAGAAACAGCATAAAGTAATTTGTTGCCACTAAGTACTATCAGATGCAGAAACAGGAACTTTTTAATTGAATGAGAGGAAGAGGGAAACAAAGGTAACTAAAGATTTGAACGTCAATTGATAGTCAATCCACCGATACAAAAAGAGAAAGGAGAAAAACGGGGTAAGAGATTATGACTTTGATATTAAGTGGTGGTATTTAATAAATATTTTATGATAATAACACAGTTGTTCAGGCGAAAATAAGTTACAGGGCCAGAAAATAACTTGTCACGAATGACATTTTAAAACTGTTTAAAACATTTAAAAATGTTTAAAGTTGGAGATTGGTGATGATTTTTTAAAAATCAGCGCTAAGATGCAAAGTGTACAAAATATGGAATGAGGAATGCTAAATATGCATCAACAATATTTTTCTTAACAGGAAGGAAATTATGGAATCCCTCAAATACAAATATAGTGTAAACGATACCTGCAAATATCTACAGCTTTCTACTAAAACCACCTAGCATCGTTGATTGAGGGATTTTCATGGAAGCTTAAATCCTTTGGAAAAAAACAAAGGAAATTTCATTACAGGGTGTGGAACAGGGGACTCCTGGGAAACTGGTAAAAACCAGGACACTGGAAGGAAGGAAGGCCCTGGGAGGGACCTATGGGCATGGTCCCCCTGAGATTTAGCAAATACCAAATATAGGCAAGGATCTAGGATGAGAAGAAAGAAGAAAATGTATTGTCTTAGCATCCTAGGTGTCAAGGGACTGGGATTTAGCCACTGTGCCCTGACCTCCTGATCTCTCGTGGGAGAATGACTTACTTTTGCCTCTCTCATCATTTCCCCACCCATCACCTGCCCATCCACACAACACACACCCTTCTCAGCACATTAGTATTCAGTGAGACTCCTGAAGGTACAACTTGTGAGTTACAAG